CTCCAGTACACATGGTTAGGCAAGACTCATGCTCCGTCAGTCAGAGCCTCCCCCTCAGTGATGTCAAGGCCACGTGCTAGGAGCTTGCACTAGCAAAGCAAACACAACCAACCAGCACCCACCAACACTCCCCCCACCACGCCGCCACCTCTCCACCGAAGCTCCTTCAGCTGGAATTGGCCATTTTCTGTCCGTTTTGTTGCTTTCTTCCACTCACTATGATTTCCTGAGAGAGCAAAAAGCATTTTCGGTGAGCAGAGCCCTTTTGAACACCAGACATTTTAGACGGCCATATATTTCACAGAGAAGACGGGGAACATAACTAACCTGAACACACGGGATTTTACATAATACATAGACTGCTTCTAACAGCTTGAGAAAGGGTGGTACCTGGTGAGAGACTAAATATACAAACAGACAATGGCCAGATCATCTCTAGAAATAGCACTCTGACCCACAACCTGCAGCAACGTGCCCAGGAAATGAACCCCCATATCTACAATAACCAGTCCGGGAAGCCAGCCTGCTATAAGGGAGGCCGTAGGAAGCCAGATTGCTATTTCTAGTAATAATCCAGGAAACTAAGCAATCACTTCTGTAATAATTGGTCCAAAACGGCCAGGATTTTATTAATAACTGACAGCTTCCCTAATTTTTGGTCCTGCTTCCAACTTAGGATGAGCCAGAGAAAGCCAAATAGGCTCCCCGAACCGATCACACAGGATGCTCTAATTAGCCTGCCTCTAGCTTCCCAGCCTCCCATCAGAACATACCTGAAGACTTCCCTTTTCTCTACTCCAAAGCTTTCCCACTTTTCTGCCTGCCTTTGAGTCTCTGCCAAAACACAGGTAATGGTGGCTGACTCCTTGCTATAGTAAGCTCTGAAACCGCTTTCACTTCTCATTTGGTGGGTCTCGTTTATTTACACACTGGACAGACATCATCTTTGAAAAATCTTCGCTGGGCCTATTATCTCCTCCAACCATTGATCTAAATTGTTTAGAGAGAGGGAAACATTCTGAGCTTATCCAGAAAATCTTGTTTATGCCTAGATAGGCTTCCATTTAGACACTAAGGTATTTTAAGTGCAGCTAATTTTTATTCTCTGTAAAGGAAAAGTCAAATTGGATAGAACCATTGTTTAAAAAACAAATTGGCTTGGAGTACCTGAGACATCTTGGTATGCTACTTAGGAATAAATGATGATCTGAACTGTTTGTTCCTTGGGAACTAGTAACGGGAGGCAGGTGGGCAAGAAAATATACCACAAACTGAGGGACGACCCAAAGGAGGCATGATAATAACAGATTCTGGAGATCAGCAATCAACAAATGAGGTGCATTTTTTTCTTAACATAATTACTCTTCTTGACTGTCTTCTGAGTGCCGGGCAAAGCCCAAGACAAAAATAGCAGAGTGACTCAACAGATGGATGGCATCAACAACAGTGGGTGATCCAAGCAGGGAAAGGCTGGAGCCAGAAATGCATGCACCATGTCTCAGTATCAGAGCAATATCAGAAGCTGGGCATCAGAGAGCCAGGCTTTGAGCCTCAGGGAGGGGAAATGGTCAGAGCAGGGGAGGCCCCCTGCAGATGAAGACTGGGACACTCATCAGGTTACAGAGCACTGATGGGGGCAGAGCCCAGTTACAGGACCTGGGGACCCAACCAGGACTGGGTCTGAGCAGCAGTGCAGACCCAGAGTCCAAGATGGAAGGCCAATATGCAGGGAGGATGCTTGTTGTTGGATCTTACACGTAAGTTACCACCACTTAAATATCTTCTGTGTCTGGGCATGAAAAGTCTTGGAGTGTCAAGGAGGTCATAGCTGTGAGGAGGAGAGCATGCATACAGAGGGTAGAACTGGACTGAGCTAAGGCACAAGCACTCATCACCAGAGGCCAGTGGTTGGGCAGGGGCCTAGCACAGTTCTAAAGAAGGAGATGGGTCCGAACTTCTGATACTGACATCTTGACCACAGAGCCCAGATCAAGCATACCCACTATGCACTCTCTAGAAAGTGTGGAGGTCAAAGCAATCAATCTGTGGGGCAGAGGATAGAGTTTCCAGTGAGAGTAGCAGAGAGGTGAAGAAGCCCTTGTCTAGGCTGGGCTCCCTTTTCTGAAAGTGGATTCTCCAGCCCCAGTTCAGCCACCTGTCCCTGCCAGAGCCTGCCAAGATTACAGATTCATAGGCAAAATAAATGACCAGTGATGTTTTAAGTGACTAAATCCTGAGGCTGATTTATTATGCAACAATCGATAACGAGAACAGATTTTGGTGTCTGAATGCTGCTGTAACAAACCCCTAAAATCTGAGCCACTGACAGTGGGACCAGGCGGCAGGCAGAAGCCTTGACAGACCTCAGTGAAGGCTAAAAGGGAAGCAAGAAAAATATAACTGGAAGCTGGAGGAAAGGGGACCCTTGCCATGTGGTAACAGAAAGTCTGGTATCATTATCAACTGAAGCAATTGAGAAAAAAAGTTCCTAATGAAATTGGTCATACAGCCAAGGAGACTCCAGGCAGAACACAGAAGTGCATGCTGGTGTCCTGTCACTGCCTATGATTCAGTGCAAGAAAAGAGAAGCGAGCTAAAGAATACACTGTTAGGGGCACCTGGGTGGCTCAGTCCGTGAAGCATCTGCCTTTGGCTCAGGTCATGATCTCAGGGTCCTGGGATGGAGCCCCACTTCAGGCTCCTTGCTCAGCAAGGAGTCTGCTTCTCCCTCTCCCACTGTCCTCCCCCCCAGCTCGTGCTCTCTCTCTCTCTCTCTCTCAAATAAATAAATAAAATCTTTTAAAAAAATACATTGTTAAACATAAAGGAGCTAGGACTTGGTGAGTCTGAAAATAAAACCATTTCTTATTCCCAGTCTCTACAGATAACAAATGATTCTTAAATTAAGAGAAGGTCTCAGTCTATAGAGCAAACCAAGGAGTGAATCGAAGAAACTTTCAGACAGACAAAAGGCCCTCTGGGAATCTTAAGGGCAACCCCTAAGGCCCTCTTCATTCAAGAGGGCATCCAAGAATCCCAAGGGCATTGCCCCTCAGCGTTCTCACAGACAGACCAAAATGGAGAAAGACTTCTTTCTCTTGGAGAGGTTTGTTATGGCTTTTATTTAATGGAGTGAGGGTTTAGCGTTCTGAATATACTAAGATAGGTCTGTCAAGATCCTACAGGAAGTGGCTTTTCCCTGCTCAGGTCCTCCCCACTGTGGAGCTTAGCTCAAAAGGAAACAGAAAGCACATTATGTCCAGAATGATGCCCACCCTGGCACTGGCACGGCCCGTGGGGACGGCCTGTGACTGGAAAGCCTGTTTGCCAACAGCCTACAGAATAATCAGGAAATAGGGAGGTTGAGAGGTGAGTTCCCATCCCAGTTAATTCAGGTCATCCCTCCTCCAGTCAGGCCTCACTGCTGTTCTCAGCTGATCAAAGAACTAAACACGAAACTCAGGCCCCATATGCAATATACCATCCTAAGAATTCTCCCTGGGATTCTAAAAAGAGATTATTCACATTTGAGAGAGGGATAGCTCTGCTGCCTAAATGATACATCTCCTCCCTTGGGCTTAATAGAAACACACCCACCTGTATTCCTCAGGAAGATATATGGATTAAGAAAGGCAAAAACACTATCTCAGAAGCAAGATTATGTTCATCTTCTTTTTTTTCTCTTAGCAAATGGGGACATAATTTCAAGTAAATGGCATGTGAAGCTGTTAAGAGCCAAGCCCCACATTCACATTTCGATGTTGCTCCGGTTGTAAATAATATGCCTGACTGCACCAGGAACCAAATTGCTCGTTAGCTGCCAACATTAGTTGTTTAATGATCTGAAGAGCAAGCAGAAGCTGCCAATTATTGTATTCCTTCTTAAAATGCCATTTAAAACCCATACATGTGATTATTATACCTTTTCGTTAAATTTTTATGATTCTTCTGAAGCTGATGAGCTGCAGGTTCACTCAACCTATAAAACTCAGAGAATACTTGGAGGATGTCATGACACAACTGGATTAAAAAATCCATGAATCACACCTGAACTTGAGCCCCTGCTCTGCCACCACTTAGCTAACTGAGTGAACTTAACCGAAGGACGTACCCCAGGGCCTCAGTCTCCTAATCTGTTCATTGGGACCTCATAACTTTCCCTCCTACCTAATACAGCTGTTGTGAAAATGAAATAAAATAACAATACAGGGGAATGCCTAAAAGCACTCTTCAAATAATAGGGTAAGATACTATTTTCAGGGGTGCCTGGGTGGCTCAGTCGGTTAAGTGTCTGCCTTCAGCTCAGGTCATGATCTCAGGGTCCTGGGATCGAGCCAAACGTTGGGCTCCCTGCTCAGCGGGGAGTCTGCTTCTCCCTCTCCCTCTCCCTCTGCCCCTCTCCCCCCATTCATGTTCTCTCTCTCTGTCTCAAATAAAATAAAATCTTTTTTAAAAAGAAAGATACTATTTTCAGAGACCTACTAATTAATGGGAAAATATATTCCCAATAACTACCAGACGAAGGATCGATTATGATATACTGAGAATCCTCCACAAATCTAATCTCTCTGACTGGGATGTTAAATTGAGTACATCACCTTGTCTCGTGTTATTCTCTCTCCCTATAGGAAGGGACTGACCACGTCCAAAATTCTCCACGGAGCCTCTACAGACACGTAATGCTCTGTAAACATCGGCTAGAATTACATGGCATGCAGCGTACCTCTAGTCTCTTAAAGAAACAAACCAGAAGTCCAAAATATGGTACCTAGACAACTTATTTTTTTGTTATATGTGCACATGTAGTTTTAAGAGTCTTACGAGGAGGCCATGCTGCCCATTTAGTCCATGAGGTTTAGTGAGACTTCCCACAAAAGCTCCAAAACGTCCAAGTATTACATAAGTAACAGGTAGAATGTTACTCGAGGACAAAACCTGGATATGGTGGCAACTGGCATTAGTCCCCTCACCAGCTTCATGTCCCCGCTATGTCCAGTTACCTGATACAGCAAGCATTTTGGCTTCAAGCAACGCCGGGAGTTGGGTTTCGATGTCATTTACTTTCTTCCTGAGAGTGCTACTGAGTCTCTCGCTCATACACACCTAGAGGGAGAAAAACAGCCAGGACTCATCATTTACTCAGGTAAAAATCAGAAGGCAGTGGAGCAGCCAGGCAGAGATTTCTGGGTTTATAAGCAATTAAGAGGGGTGATAAAAAGTAACTGAAGGAGAGTTATTTGAAAGCAAACAATGTAAAAACAAAGCAAGAAAAGAGGAAAGAAGGGAGGAAGGAAGGGAGGGAAGAAGGGAGGAAGGGAGAGAAAGAGGGAGAGAGAGAAGGAGAGAAGGAGGGAGGGAGATGGGAGGGAGGGA